GGATTACTAGAATTTGAAGCAAGAACCAACACTAGGGTCCACGGCTATTAGGGAAGCGGTAGAGGGCCGGCAGTCCAAAGTCGAAGTTCGAGTGTACTGTGTATGATACGTCAAGTTGACGCAATAATAAAAAATGTCGTGGTCGACCGTGCCAAACGCGGCCGACAAGGCGAGTAGATATAGTGCCGCCATGTCGCCGCGGTCTACTGCTCGCAGGGTAGTAGATAAAAAAATTGCCAAATGTCTGCCGCTTGGTGTCTATCCCGCAAAAGCTTAGACACCAAGCGGCAGAAATTTGGCAATTTTCTGTTATCCTAGCCGCTAGTACTATCCCCGTGTACAAGCACATGACAGAAGCAGCAACGCATCCGAAAAACTTAATCTCATTTCTTCAGCTGGTAAACGTTCGCCTACACTCCAAACCGACCCAAACGTTCAACGGTGAAATTCATACCTCGCAACAGGAAATTGCCTCCTCCTCGTGCGAACAGTTTACTTCGGCTCTCCTCTGTCCACAGTTCCATTTCCTTTTATAGTTCAGCTGGTGAATCTGGCGATCAGTTCGGGGAGCAACTCCATGACTTTTGAAACGGATGGCTTGTAGATGCAAGAATTGAAGCACGTAGGAACAAGTGCACATATAGCTTTACTATAAACTCTTTTAAGTACCTGTACCGACATATTTGTTCCTGTATTTGTATATTTGTACCAGTCGCGACCTATTAAATACCTGTAGCGACTGGCAGCTTGAAAAGCTGTCATTGATTGGTTGACTATATCACAAACATGTAACTATTATTTATAAAACGGCTCCAGTACCTCACTCACCTCTCATTCTTGGCGACTTTTCACCTCACCTTGTAGCCAACGCTTCCATTCTAGCCAACTAAAAGAGCTTTATTAGTTCTAGCGCAAAGCCAGGTAATCCAACACACTTCAAGGTGCTTGTACACGGGGACAGTGCAGGCGGTAAGTAGGTCAGGCAAATGTCGGCCGCTTGATGACTATCCGGCAAGTAAGCCTGTACACGAGGACAGTACTGTATAAGGTGCCGATATCTTCTCGTTCGCGGCTTCGCGGCGGTTCGCCGCTCGCGCCCGCCCCGCAGCAGCCATTGTGTCATCAGCGGTCAGAAGCCGCCGAGTGAGGTGTGTAAAAATGGATAGTGGGATCACCTTCAACAACTCGAGTCTGTACGTTATTTTTTATACTCTTTATTCTAGCCCCTAAAAATGCAACGTCGGGAACAACTAAACCCGGTCTAATAAGGTATTCTTTCAGTTTCAAAATACTCGTTTCTTTCTTCATTTTTTTTAGTAACCAGCATGGCAAACATTACAATTAATTCATATTTTTTGGAATATCTCAAAAAAACAATTGAATATCGTCTGGACTCCACTTTGGTGGGTTCTTCTCAGAACCATTATCGTTCAAACAGGCCAAGATTCACTTGACCCAAGATACTTCACAAGAGCGGCACAAATGCTCCCACCATGGCTGAATCAGGGCCACTGGCCGCTTCTCCGGCGAAGCAAACACATTGTTGTCCCTCTCGGCCGCCTCTCGGGCACATGCCTCGGAAGTGACGAGGCCAGTGTACCCCTGTACACGAGGCCAGTTATAGCGTGGACAGTTCAGGCGGCGGATGATGGCGGCCAGTACTGTCCCCGTGTACAGGCATCTTAACGCACTAAAACCTTGGAGTGCAAGCTGTTACTCCACTCCGTGGTTGTTCCGCATTACATCGCCCCAGCAACATGTCTTCAAATCTTGTCACTCAACAGTCACCTAAGGATACATTTTTCACCAGTGAAACTCACCAATCCAGAGCCGGAACAACCACCTCTATCACCCTCTTGAATGAAATAATTTACCCAATCTCATCTTTCAACTCAGCTGTCGCTAAGCGAGCCAACAGGACGCACAGAATACAAACTTGAAGTTCGTCACCTTTGAAAAGCCTCTAGATGGCCTTCTAGGTAGCTCATCGTTGACCCAGCTCTACACTGAGACAGCCGTTATGGCGGAGTCCCTGTGCGCCCATCTGAATCTAGTTTGCAGGCAGCATATATTGCCCGCGCTTTTCGGGAAGATCATCTTCCTCCCCTTTATTTTCCGTCCTTATTAAGAATGCTCTATGTAGTGTATTTATTGCAATGTAGTCGTTCTCTAAGCGCAAGTTTAGATATTTTTCATGTATGCTATTAAAATACCAAGAGTTTGATTACCTTTAGCCAAAATCGCTTTGAGAGCGGATAATTTGTTCTTTTTTCAAAATAAATTTGGTCACGCATCTCCCTTAAATATAAAATATGATAAATATCGGATGACAATTTAAATAATCATACCAGCATGGTACAGATTTCTATAATTTTTCTAATATCCGTAAACGTTTTATGTAAAGCCTGCATATTATTGTATAACCTAAACGTAAAATGTTTATCACTTTAAATTATTAAAAAATGTTTTAACTGCATCAAGCAGTATATATATGTTCTCTCTCTATTGACGTTCTGCTGATCGGCAACTTGGCATTGAAAATAACCAACTACGGTGCCTAGAATAATTACTTCTCTTAGAATTGCGTCAGTTTTGACTGTCAAATAATAGAGTACAGTGTAGATAACTATAACTAACTTAAACTTAGCTATCAATAAATATACATCATGCGTCCAGTTTTTACTAGGAGATTTAAGCCTAAAATTAACAAGTCTCCTCATAGTTGGAGCATAAAAAGGGTTCAGTAGTAGCATGGCTGACCTACTTCTTGCTCTCTCTTCAACTGGCAGGTTGCGGGTGAGACGCGATTGCAGGAACAGGCTGAACAGCCGCGCAGGCCCGCGCTGCTTTGGTGTCATCAGTGAGACTTCAGTGTTCGTAGGTGGTGCTATCGCTCCTCGTGCTCAGGAATGGTGTGATTGGTGTCTGTTAAAAATGTATGAGGTGGAGTTCAACAACTGGATAATAGTGTTTCAGTGTGGAAACTTTTACAATTTATTAATTCTTGAAACTTTGCGATGGGTTTAGAAACTCAAGATCGACCTAATAAATAGGATATCACTTGTCAGTCATAGTCAAGTTTTCTTCCATGCCTGAATTCTTGAGGTAGCTAGTAACCGCAGAGATCAAGCAATAATCCTGATCGTTCAAAATGTCATAATTTCGGTATTTGAACATGTATTTGTGCCTTTTAATCTAGCTTGAAAAATCGTTTTTCTACTTCAGTTTGCCGAGTTAGGTCTTAAACTACGTATAATTTGACTTTCACAGCCGACTTCCTACTACGTAGTTCAAGGAGAGGATGACATGACATGTCAACCTCTCTAAAAAGTTTTTTCTTTGATAATCCAACGGACGTGGGGTAATGGTTCATTTTTTCCAAATACCAGCTTCAGCTATAAAGCTTTAATTTAAGACCAGGTTTGCTATCGGTAAGCGCTCCATTTGATAACTATTTCCAACTATTGGCGACCAATTTGGTGCTTTAAATTTCAAGATTCTCGCGAGACATTGCCCTGTAATTAGGGAGGGGTTATTTCTATTTCGTTCCAGACTTCCAGCAGGTCGTAATGAAAATGAAGATCCTCACTATAAGGTGTTCCAACTTCCAACATGAACAACTGGACATGAAACTCAACTTGAAAGATTTTTGTTCGTTTATACTTTTTATAGTATACTATTCTTCATTGCTACGCACCAGGAATCAAATTATAACTGTATAAGAATTTATGAGAAAGATTTGCATCAAAGTAACACACGTATTTTGCATGCGAGACTGATTTGATACGATTCTAATCGACTAAGTAGCGACTGTTTAATAGCATCGCTTTTCAGGATTACAGTGAGCAGCAGGTTCAAGTCCCACGTACTAATCTGTGCAATTCTCATTGTCGACAGGCCAGACTTTGCCTTATTTTCAGCGCCGATAGTTCCGTCACTGTTGTACTTTACTTAATTATAACAGAGATCTTATGTAGAGTGAAGATCACTATCAAGACGACGTTGAAGTTACCACTTTTTTTATTATTCGATCTTTGGCTTAGGAACAGACGAAATTATGAATTGCTCGTAAACTTGAGTTATGCGTGTTCGTCAGTTCATGCTTATATTCGAAGCACTCGAAACGGGGTAATTAAGTTAGTGCCCCGTTCTAATGAGTTCACATGTGAAAAACCGCGGCACTTATTTTGAAATCGAATTTAAACATACATCGCCCATTGCCCAAATTCTGTTTTTGTAATAAATACTTTCATCTGTATTGTTTTGAGATCAGATATGTTTCTTTCGAATCCTCTGAAGTCAAATAGGCAATTATGTAGAGATGACACTGATCTAGTTGATACCATTCCTAGATGTTTCGCTATTAAAATCCATTATAATTTACGGAAGGAGCCATAAACAGTTATTTGTTATAGTTTTCTTCTCCCGTTTTCATCTCAATGTTGAAACGGTCGTGCGGCTTTTAATTTGTCGACAAATACTATGTAGTTGGCGATAGTCCCTTGTTCACAATAGGCACGCATAGATTCGTGCATAGTGTCCATAATTGTTCTAGTCGTTCATGTCAATAGATTGAAGCATGGTTGAACTAGTAGGTATACGTATGGTTGACCCATTAGGAGCTCATTTTCGCGGATGGAGCTTTTTGTTCGCCTGTGACTTCATTGGCATTAACCATTCACCCAAATGGGTTCAAACCAGTCAACCAATCCGTCATGAGAATGACGGGTTTGTTTACGTTTCTGGATCTACGTGACGTAACAAGAAAGCTGAACTGAAAGACGGAACTTCTCGTGGGTCAACCTTGTATAGTTCAACTATGGGTCAACCTTATATACTTCAAACCATATATAGTTCAACCATGCGTTGAAGTTTAGCTTTGAATGCACAATTTCTTACGATATTGCAATGGAGTTATTGTTAGCAATTGTGTGTTTGTGTATTTATGTGTGTTGAGATGCAGCTCTATTTTAGTGTTTCTGATGAAACGTTCATTTTCAGAGTACGTATATTTCAATTGTTCAACAGATATTTTTTGGAGATCGTTTTCTATTTCAGATTCAAAATTAATTCATATCATGAGTTAATTACGACAAATTGGTTGTTATGAATCTTTTTAATTAATTTTAAAGCAATGTTATGACAAGCGCTTGTTTGACTTGTTGTGCCCATTTCCCGTTGCAATTTATTAGCTCTTAAAGGCATCGATTATTCATTATTTGCATACTTACGTCTACCAAATAACACTGCGTCAACAGAAAAAAACGGACCTCGATGAGAAGCAGAAAGTGCACTCTAAAAATGGCTTTCTTGTGTTGGGTTGTGACGGTATTGTGCGCTGCATTGCTGCTTGTGGCAACTGATGGCGCTCGCAGTTCAGTGACTCCAACTGAAATGTCGAATAACAGATACGAACATCCGCAGCATGAGCTCGAAGATATCAAGACACTATCACACAACGAGGGTCACGCTGATCAGGTGAAAGTGAGACGAAGAACCTCCCTATTAGAGCTGCATGAAGCGCATCATGCTGCATCTCGGCCTACAACTTTCGTCACGAATACAATGGACACGAAGATTGGTAATTATCCAAGAAATACATCGGAGCTAGGATACCAAAAAGTCATAACCGAAACAAGCAGGCCGAATAATGTAATTACTGGAGAACAAAGGAACACAATCCAATATGATTCGGACAACAATTTTTCCTTCCAAAAACGCCACCCTGAAGCTTTTTTCAATCCAGAGGATTTTGAAACGACGAAGTATAGAATGCCGCTTCCTCGAACTGAGCCACGGAGAGCCAGACAAGTCACAAACCAAAACCTGAATTTGCCGATAATAATGCCCCTAAAAAGACCAAAAAATGTTTCCCGATCTGCTTCACCAAACTATCCGTGGGGAAGTCACGCGTTTGGGCCATTACACACATACACCAGATCGCCTCTCGGCACAAAATGGAATGCATATTTCTACGATCAAACCATCGCCGTCATTCTCGAGGATCAAGACAGAGCGCTGCTCAACTGTACGCTTCTAGAAGTCATGTGAGTTGCATCGTTTTTTCAACACCCCGAACGAATTTTTGTTTGGAGACAAATATCCATACCAGAAAAATGTTCATGGGTATAAACTAATGACTTAGACCTCTTAAACTAGCAAATACCACCTATCATTGAATATTTCACGACTGTCATTTATATCATATTTCGACCTGTACCTATTTCATCCTGTACGGCTGTACCCCATTGCAGACCACAACACGAGCAGCGAGCAGCACTTAGGAGTCTGGGGCAAGTGATGGCGTTAGTTCCACTCACCTTCCGGCAGATGGTGCAGTTGTCGTACTACTGCAAGAGCACCAGAGAAATACTCGCGCCCAAATCAACCACCCAGAGAAGAATCGCCAAAAATAACCCGACTCCAGGTGCTTATTTTTACAGTGACAATTATTTTTTTTTACCTCTAAATATTTGCATGTAGGTAGTATTTGCATGATGGTCGATAGCAAAAGTCCAGGCTCCCGAGAAAAAACAATACAAGCAATTATACAAGCAAGAGTTTTAATTATTATTCTATAAATGGATTTCGATTCATTAACAGTAATCTAAAAACTCCTCGCGATTAACCAAAAAGTGAACATTTTAAAAGAACTAAGACTCAATAAACTGTTGTAAATGTGGCTGGATTCAAGCATACAAAAATATTAACGAAAAAGTGTAAATGAATATTGTTGGACTACAATGAACTTGAACAATTTTAAGCGTTATGCGTTAGTGAGCAAACAAACTAATAATTATTAGTCAATGGTTTTCATCGTTTTATAATAAAGTATTTAGTTAGGATTTCTATGTCATGTTCAATTTAACTCATGATATTAAAAGAAATTTGCTGCCAAAAACTGGTCTCTGTAGTAATAAATGCATCACGCTAAAATTATTGAAACAGGAACAAACGCATTTAACATAAACCAATTTGATGTTAAAAGCCTCGAATTTATCCAATAGCCAAATTTGATCATCTTGGTTCGAATTTATATTCATGAAAAATCCTAGACGAATTCGGACAAATTCTCCCGTTTTTCTAGACGTGTTGTGGGACCACGCGTCGTCCCTGTTCTCCGGGATCATGCCAGGCACGGTGTGGTGTGGACTGGGGGACCGGGCACGTGTTTATGAGGACCTGGGGGAGCGTCGTGAGCTGGACACCTGCTGCCGGGCCCACGACCACTGTCCCGTCAAGGTGCGGGCCTCCGCGTCCCGTTACGGCATCAGGAACACGGCCTTCAGCACCGTGTAAGAAACAAATACCTCGGGTATTTTTTATGGTCATGAAACAGAGACGATGAGAAACTGTATATCTTGTGTCGTCCATTAGCTCAAGTTGAGGATAGGACGTCAGAATAATTGATCAAATACATGGAAACAAGATTTCAATTGTTCCGAAAATATCGCTTTCATTGCAAATTTTAGTAGGAAATGCTTGAGACATGTTTTTTGTAGTTGATTTGTCTCATGAAATTCGAATAGCTGGAATAAGGGGAACATGTTTCCAGTAATTGCTCATTTCCAAAACTAGTAAGTCCTCCAACGACTTGAGGCCAAAAGTAGATGAGAGGTAGATGACATAAAACTATCCATGTCTTCATGCACGACGTTTATAGCTCAGCTTGGCTAACATGCTACTGGTATAGATTTGCTGTAAACCATCAACCTTGTCTTTGAAATAGTGATAAGATTATTGGAATAGGTTAAATTAAAAGTTAAACTGCCTGTTGAAATGTAGTTGTCTAACAGGATTCAAAAACGGTCTTCAAGTCTGTGCAAGCACGGAATGGTATAAAGATGTTTACTAGGTTTTATATGATATCCGATTTGATCCATACAGATCCTTGGCTCGAGAATATTTCATGATCACTCTCGCGCTGTAATCCGTTTTGAATATTCTTGTAAACTCTTACCTTTAAACGTTTAATTTCATCATAAATATATCCGAGACGAATGACTCTAGGAGTTTGACACATCAAGCCTGTCTGTCGCTAAATGAGAACAAGAATCCATGCTAGATTAAATAATTAATACTCGGCTAGATTAACTGTTTTAATAACTTCATTTCTTAGGCTCGAGTTAATGGTTTTCGTTTTGTTCAGATCTCACTGCCTGTGCGATGACGCCTTTCGCATGTGCCTGGAAAAAGCTGCACTTGATGACGAGATGGCAGCGACCATCGGCGAACTTTTCTTCAATATCATCAGGCCGCAGTGCCTTGTCAGGCCGCGACCCAGGCCTCCTAATCCCCGGGCTGGATCACTAACTGCCCCTGGAGGAGTGACTCCTCACGAGGCAGACCACGAGGTCTACAGACCCCGGCTGGACTGTTTAGCTATCGACGACCAGAACGGCTGTAGGTGGTGGACCACTAATCCTAAAAGCCTGTCGTTGAATCTTAAAATTATTACTCCGAATTTTAGGTATATTGGTCCCGGTGAACGCAAGTCATGATTCGATAGATTGTTTTAATTTATATAAATTGTTATGACGTCGATTAACATGTCTTAATGAGAGACATGTTAACGCAAGGGAGACTTTGTTGCTTATACTTCTGTCACTGTACAAATATCATTGAATGTAGAATTCCTTTCTTTGTACCATATGATTCATTTGTCACCATTGATTGTCGCTAGGATGAACAATAGTCTGATTTGTTTTTTTCTTGGAAACTCAATAGCAAGTTTTTAATAGGATTTGGTTTATGCCCGAGGTTTCTAGGCCAAATTTGATAACCCCTCTCGAGTTCATGCGATTCATTTTAGTTGTATACTTCTCGTTTGTGCATCAAATGCGTACCTGGTATTTCGTAAATGTTTGCTAGCATAGGTAAACTTTATGACTTATATTATGTCGTTTTAATGGAAACGTCACTGGTGGAACATTACTTCTTTGCTCCAAGATAAGCGCAGGATCGCGGGAATGCTCAGAATGCTGAAAAATCCCAAGACCACAGTTACAGCCCGTGAATGATTTTTTTCTTTGCCAATGGCTTAAAAAAATTATGAGTCATTTTTCAAGTGAATACTGTATGATCCACACATATTTCGCGTAGAAATATGCTATTAGCCGTAAACTTCATTTCAGTTGTATGATAGGTTCTTTTACTTGAATAGATTCGGATCGCCTGTGGGATTGGTGGGTGACCGAGACAAGATTCTGGATAACTGCAGTAGGTTGTCTTATTTTAAATTAAGTGGACTATTTTTTTATACTTTCATTCCATATATTATCTGATATATGTATATAGCCTATTATTGCTGCTCCTTTGTCGAGGTCAATAACGTGGTCAACGTGCGCAAGAGCTCCGGCGAGTATGCTCGAATTAGGACTACTGATTGCGAATTTATCAGGAATTTTTAGATCATAATTGAGTGCTATCATACAGTCGACACCTCCAAGTTAATTTTTATTATTTTATAACTTCAAAAAAGTATGTTCAAAGTTAAATTAGTGCATTAGATTTTAAAGCGACAGTTGAAGACAGAAATCGCTTCACGTTGAATCACAATTTCTAAATGAGTATTGACCTAACAAAATTGGGTCGACATATTTAAAACGTGATCCATGTAACGAGTTACACGGATCACGGTTGAAATGCTGGCTGGGCATAAAATGCAGATGCTGGGCTCACAGTTGAAATGCTGTTCCAATGTATCGATCAATTTTTATACTTATGGACAAATATTACAATAATAAATAATGCTGAATACGATGTGATTCTTCCAATTCTAGTTAACTTTGCAGGTTAAATATCAAGTAGATGGATTCAATATATTTAGAAAAAAATATGTTATACCAAAATAAATCTTGAGCATTGGTCGATCTGGCGAACATTTTGAACAATAGAAGCAGCGCCAATGATTACACTCTTCAGAGCCCTAGTGCTCCCCAATCTTGAATACTGCTGTCAGCTTTGGGCACCACTCAAGGCGGGTGCGGTGCGGAAACTGGAGGCGGTGCAGCAGACCTTCACATACAGGATCAGCGGCATGAAGGAGCTGGACCTGAACTACTGGGACAGACTGAAATACCTGGGACCATACTCACTGGAGAGAAGAGAGAGGTATATCATGCTGTACACCTGGAAGATGATAACCGGACTGGCTCCAAACTTTGAGAGCGAGATCTCCAGAATAGTGACACATTTTAACGAAAGGAGGGGGAGATGGTGCAGAGTTCCCCATTTAATAACCGAACCGCGGCCATAGTGCAGGCTCTTCGTGAGGGATCACAGTCCGTGGTAGGACCGAGGCTCTTTAATGCCTTGCCTAAAGTGCTGAGAGGAGGGAAGTTCACCCTTGCAACATTCTAGAGACGACTGGACAATTGGTTGAGAAAGATCCCGGATTGTCCAGTAACGAGAAACTACTGACAAGCAACAGCATCTTGCATCAGCTGGCCCAAAAGAGGGCAAACAGACGGAAAACGTCCAACGTTCCATCCGGGACCAGAGGGCTGGATGACCTGCCTAGCGGTGAAGGACGACGAAGGCGGAGCATCAGCTTGACCGTGGACTACGAACTCCTAAACTCATCATAAGGTAAAGTAAGGTCATAAGGTAAATAAACAATATTTTTGGGCTATTTTTATGAGATTAATTTTTTAATGCTTTCAGAAGTGACATAAAAACAGCGTGTTGATCAACACTGTTTACCATGGTTTAACTACATTAGTTCAACCATGACTATTTACATTTTGGGCTCACTGTGACGTCCCTCCAGAGATGCACAGAACGGCGAAAAATCGGCATCGCCGTGGGTCGACCTTATGTAGTTAAACCATGTGCTCAACGGCATCAAACCGTTCCAAATTTCAACGTGAATGAAACTTGTAGTGACTCGATCATAACTCGCACTATCATTTTTTGTGAATGTCGTAATTATTTTTATTAACTCTTCAAACTCGTTAGTCACCAATTTCTATAGCTACTCGCAACTTAATTACCCAGAAACTTGCCAATTACTTCCTATGTCGTCAATTTAACTTTTGAATAATCATGCAAACATTTTTTTCAAATTTTTACATTCATTACTTTTTTATTATCACCGAAAACCTAACTTCACGTTCACCTCGCAGGTTAGGTCCTAGTCAGGTCAAGTTTCAGTATTTTGTGGCATTAACAAAAAGTAATTGACGTAAAAATCTGAAAAAATACCCTCCGCAGCGTACTGATAGTATCTACTTATATTTTGAATTTGAAGAAAATCCGTCCATTATTGACTGAGTTATGCGTGCCACAGTTGAAAATTAAGTTAGGTTTTCCGTATTAAAAAAAAAATTAGTGATGAAAAAATTTGAAAAAAATACCCTCCGCAGCGTACTGATATTATCTACTTATATTTCAAATTTGAAGAAAATCCGTCCATTATTGACGGAGCTATGCGTGCCACAGTTGAAAATTAAGTTAGGTTTTCCATTCCAGCTCGCAGGCGAGTTCGCACGCGAGTTCGCTGAAGTGTCGGACCGGTCGAAAGTTGTGATTTTCGTTTAGAACGTGCTAGCGGACTGAGCTAGAACCATATGATAGAATCACTTTCACTTTGCTTTTACACGTCGACGTGTTAAGATCTCCGGATTAAGCTGTCATGCCATGACCTATGAATATAGTCAAGTGATATTTGCTATTGGCATTGCTATACAAGCTATACTAAACACTGAAACAGTATAGCTACTTCTGTATATATATATATATTATTTAATATTGAGTGGCCCTTAACTTAAGACTTAAGTTAAGGCTTAGGCTGGTGGAATTTCAATTAGTTCTTCCAAGAGAGTGAAGAGACAATACCAATGGCAATGCCTACTAACAATATTATTATATATATCTAGGATTATATATACAAATATATTACTCATATTTATGCTAAATTATAGTGCAATTTGTTTATAATAATGATATTAAATTATCTATATTTATAATTAATATTTTTCTTACCAGATTCAAATGTTCAAACAAAACCTATGATACCTCATTGAGTAATGAGTCATTCTGTCAATGGCTCAATGCTCTCTCCACTTATCAACTTTGTACATTTTCTTTCTGTGAAAACAAACATTTAGCCTGCAATGAGGACGAAGTGTAGAAAATTCAGGGGTGGAACTGGACCAGCCTGAACAGTGTCAGTGATTATGATCAGCCCACAGAGTCTGACCATGTTGATTGATGTTGACATTATACCATGTGTAGGCCATGCTATCACTATCAGGTTCTGCTTAGAACATGGAAAGTCCATCAAACCAACAATTGATTGGATCAAAAAGTTATTTGGGTTGAATGTGCCTAGGTATGAATTGGAAGTTCTCATGAAAGAATATGACAATTGCAGAAAATTGACCTATGGAGGTCGTAAAGAAAATTTTTTGGCAAAATTTCAAGTATTTTGTGATCCTCTCGGTATTTGCAGTTTGGAACCAGTGATAGTTACAAACACTTTGAAACCTGAGCCATCCACGGTGATCCACCATCCACATCCTTTCATGAATCTTTGCCATTAACTCCTACTGCATCAGCTCAACTATCTGCATTCACTAATAATGAGCCTGCATCTAAAGAAATTACAGCTCAAACAACTACAAAGCCTTCTAGGCTTCTACAATTGTCCAGCACCTCTCACCCATCTCAGGCCTCAGCCTCCAACACTCAGCCTTCAACTGCCTCTCCAAGGACGCCATTGGTAGGTAGGAGCACTGGTATGCGACTCCGTAGAAGCAAAGAAAGTCCAAGGAAGCAGCTTCTGCAAAAGCAGTGCCAAGACTTGTCTCTTGATATTGCCCATAGAAAATCTGTCTACCATGAACGGATGAAGATAATGAGGTCCGAGCTGAGCAGCAAACCAACAACAGTGAAGAATCTGCGTAAAAGAGTTTGCCGGCTGATAGAGGCTAATAGAAGGATAAGGAAAATTGCTCTCTTCCAGAAAAAGGCTCTTAATGAAAAGGAAAATGAAAGAGAAAACATTGGCTAGAAGTGCTTTCATTCAGACATCAGATTCAAGAACTAAAGGCTGATATTACATACTATAAAAACCAAAACATGGTTATTCTTTAACAGAAAGAAGAGCTAGGAGCAAGTCTGCACGATCAATGCAATCAACGCATTGCCAACAAGCGGGATGAAAAAAATTTTTCTAAGGAATGTCCGCCTGATTATCTATGACATGCAATCATGTAATGTGCCCACTGACAACATCCCTAAGCTAATGAGTTCTAACTTCTATGGCAGCCAGACTGGAAAAGAGCATGGAAGCACCCAGCAGAACAAGTGTGGAACGGATGGCAGTTGAACTTGGCCTTTTTTCAGACTTGCAGGCAGCAACTTTTCCAAATAATCATGAAGGTATCACTCTTGGCTTTGATGCCACAACTCAGGAGGGCATTCACATTAACAGTGTCCACCTGACAAGTGAGGATACCACATTGATTATTACAGTTGACCAACTTCCAGGGGGCACTGCTCATGATTATGCTAATCATATTGTTGATTCAGTTAACAATCTAGCTGTCATTTACACCACTCTGCATCATGGCTGCAAGCCTGCACTTATGAAGATACAAGGTTGAAGATGGTACACAACATTTGCAACACTATGTCCGATCGTGCTGCTGTCAACCATAAAACAATATCTTTACTGGAAAATGTCTGGGGCACTAAGTTAAATGAACTAAACTGCCATTTGCATCCTTTGGATTCGGTTGCCACAGCATGTAAGTCAGCACTCTGAAACGCAGAGTTGGAATCAGGCCAAGTGAGCAAGCTCTTTGGCAATGACTGCATGGCAGCAAGAGTTATCCTGGCATTCAACAAGCTGCGCTACAAAGATGCAAAAGGTAACCCACAAGGGTTCATATCTTTCCTGAAGGAAAATAATCTACCCCTTGGGATCATTCTAAGATACCGTGGCAACCGCCTGCATATAATTTTCCATACCAGCAAAATCCTTGTAAAGCACTACATCCTATTCAAACAGATGCTGCATACTCATATGCCAAGCAATCAAGGGGGCCTGTGTGCTGCACTAATGGCAGACTTTTTAAATCCATATGCAATAAAAGAACTTTGCCTGCTGGCTCTTGTGGGCCTCAAACTAACTGGGCCATGGATGAACAACTTCTATGTTGACAGCTCTTCTGAATTAAACCACATCCAGGCAATAAATGCTGTAGGAGAAGTGCTGGAAAGGATGTGTACTTGCTTGCAACAGCCTCTCTCCCTTCAATCAATGTTTTCAACTTGGTATGCTGCATTGCTGCCCTCATCCTGGAAGGGGGGAGTTGTTCTTATTTTGAAGACCAGCAAATATCTCTCAGCCTTCTTTCATCCTACCAACAATTAATCCTACTCTCATGTCTCAAAAAGCTGCTAGAATGATATGTTGTTGCTGCTCGTCTTGAGCATATCGTAGGTCACAAGACACTCCTGTGATGCAGTGTCACAAAGGTTTCATGCTTACTTGAATTCTGGCACTACTTGCATTAGAGTGAATGGGGTGCTGTTGGAGTCACTTCCCATGCTGGCAGGAATGCTCCAAGGTGCTGTACTGAGTCCTTTTCTTTTCAATCTAATGCTAATGGATATCCCACAGCTTGCTGTCATAGAGGTATTGCTTTATGTGGATGATATCACCGTTTGTTGCCATGGGCCAACCATGCATGATGCCAAATCTTTCATGCAGAGATACTTGAATGAGTTTCATTCATACTGTACAACATGGGGCTTGGTTGTGACTACCAAAAAAAGTTTTCCAGTATTTCACTACTAAATTAGTGAATGTTCCAGTACTGCAGTATCAAGCTATCACATTGGTGTCAGCACAAGCTGCTTAAAACAATGCTTGATGCCCCATGCCTCAATCGAGTCCCTCACCTTACCTATTTGCATGTTGATGTTACAAGACTAATGGATTTGCTTAAACATATGGTCTCTCCAAACGGGTGCAAGTTCCCGTTCCTTGTGCTTATTTTATTGTGCCTACTTTAGAGCAAGAGATTACTGTTCTGCATGGAACAGCCTATTCTGCTTAGTTGAAGCAGCTAGAAGCCTAGAAGTCTTGCAGAATGCCTGTATTTGTCTTGTCCTTGGAGCTTGACAGACAACACCCATAGTGTCCCTCTAGGTGGAAGCTTATATTCCTTTTCAGAGTTTGAGATGCTATCAGCTATATATTTTGGCTACCATCATGTATATTTGCCTTAAATATCATCTAAATGAGGATAGAACCTCTGAAACTGTCTTTGGTGATACACTCCATCTTGTCAATATGGACCACCACAGATATAGCATGATCTGAGTCTTCCTCCTTGTTGTAGGTATCCTGTTCCTGTGTTTAATCCAGTTCCAGTGACTTTTCCATTTTGGTGTTGTTTGTCTTCCCTAATTTGTTTAGATCCTTGTCTTTTTGCTGCTCATCCAGATGAGAAGTATCGGAATTACATTATTACAGTGCAATTTATTGTGACAGCTCAAGACTGATTGATGGTCCATCTGCTGCTTGAGGTCTTTGTGTTCCATTTGTAAGGCAAGCAGTTGCATGGCAGTTAAATCCTAATCACAATATATTGTCTACTGAACTAATTGCACTTTTGCAGGCCTTGCAACTTATTACAGCCGACTCCTTCCCCTTTGCAGGAATCATATGTTCTGACTCTCGTGTAGCTTTGCAACTTATGCTATCTCTCACCAGTACTTGTTCTGATCTGGTCTATGGTATATGTGAGCTACTAATATGGTAAAATGACATCTGCAGTGGGCCTTTAAAGTAAAATGATGTCTGTAGTGACCCTTTGCATCTGCAGTGGATCAAGGCTCACATTGGCATTATTGGTAATGAACATGCTGATGCAGTTGCCTAACTGGGACATTTCCCTACCCTCTGCCTTATTTCCTCTACGTTGCTTGCATGCTCTTGCTGTGTTTCAGTCATGCTTCCTTTGTTTTTATTTTGGGAATTGGATTGGGTTACTAAAGTGGCTACAGATGGAAGGGGCCATCATTTTGCTTCCATTTGGTCTGAGGTGTACTGTCCCATGGCTTGCTTGCTATTCTCACCATGCTACAGTAGTTAACCTGCTTTAATCTTGGTCACGTTGGGCTTTGTTCTTATCTTCATTGATTTGGCATGGCTGGCTCTTCCATGTGCCTGCACTGTGAGTTCAAAAGAGTCATTTGTACGCTTCTGTGTATGCATATCTGTGTATTTTTGTACGCATATATGTGCATGTGCTCCTTGGCAGAGGCAATTATTCCACAAGAGTTCAGCTCTATTGTGAGAGCAGCTACCTCATATCTCACCAGCTACCACAGCTGGTGAAGCGCACTGGATTAAACAATTATTTGCCATAAACAAGAGGAATGTTGACAACCTGGAGAGCTGGTGCTTGTAGAGAAGAATGAAACTGAAAGAAACATGATGAAGACTTAAACTAAATAACTATAGCTGAGTCCAGGTGTTGAAGCAGACAACATGTGACTTCTTCACCTTCAACCCACTACCACCACCTCTTTACACAAACTTCCAAACCCTTCTAGCCTTTGCTAAAGTATCCTCTCCCTGACCTCACTTCTCTTTTATCCTGCTAAAACAAATATGTGATGTGTGACAGCTAGCCAATATAAAGGCCTGACTCATAAAAGTCTTTTTTTGGGGTCACCATGCCCCAAATCCACTACAAATAGGGCTTGTAAGATTTTAAGTTCTCTATTCTCACTGTCTCACATGTACCAACAAAGGCAATGATGTTTGTTGTGGGCTTGTGGTTGTTGTTGATTTTAGTAATTGATTTAAACAAATTCTATATGTTGTTTAAGTAGCAGGAAAGAAAAATTTGAAAGACTGAGTGCAAGAACAATGCTAAAATCAAACGGATAAATTCACTACAGTTAGGATTTATCTTCAACAATATAACAGTAGTACCTACACTGACCACTGTTACAGTTATTGTGACAAAACACTCTTCAACTCTTACAGTACCAACACTAGTTATGTAACAGTATATACCTGATAGCAATCGTCAAATGGGTATTGTAGGTGAGAGTATCTAGATACACACTTATTTTTTAAAATGACATTGAAGAGTGCAAATTGATTCTTTATCTATTTCTAGTGAAAAAGTTGATAAAAATGTAAAACTGTTATGGTCTGAGCTGAGCCTGCCCATGAAGATTATACTTTTTCTATGTTTGAATGAAATTTTGGTCTCGTACTTCAAAGTGACCAATTTTTAATACATTTGGAATCTTGCAGCTCGATCGTAGAGGTTTAGTATTAATTAGATAAGAGGTAATTTATCTAGCTCTTTTCAGGAATCTTGCAGCTCTAAAAATGATGCAAAAACTTTAGTCACTGCTCAAAGGAAAGATATTTCCATGACAGGTTGTAAGCAATGATAATTTTTTGCTCAAGTAAGGTAGTGATATTGTAATTACATTACTTCATCATTTACATTTTACGAGAATGACTAATCAAGCAGTAATGAAACCTGGGGAAATCAATATGGCTTGCCTTTGTAATTACAGCCAACAGAATCAGTAACATTAACAGCAGTTTTTAATACACAATTCATAGAAATCATCTGCTGGATATGCCTATATATGGTACTCAATCTTGTCTGGTCACGTTGGTAGGTCATGATGTCACTGAGTCTATCCTATGTTCTCTGACTAGTACTAAAGCAAAGATATTTGAAGCCAATATCCTTCATTGGGTCCTGGGAAAATTTATTATTTTGATTGCCTCGTAACTCAGCTCCCTGCTTCAACAAATTAGCATTGAAACTGAATGATCAGAAGTGTGAGATAATGAGGTGATGCAAAATATATCATTATACTCTTCTGAGAAGCCTGTTTGAATTAAAATTGTTCCTAGGGTCCTAATACATTAAAAATTGAATTATACCTATTTTCTCTATAATAGTAATTTCTATGTCCTAATTATTGTGACTAAACATTTCAGTTGTAGATCTGCTAGCTGCAAATAAAGTTGAAAATGAGCGAAAAGAATAATAAGGATGACATACCGGTAATTAAAATCGGTGAGTAGAGAGCAAATTCTATATCATTTTATATGTACATTATCTTGTTTTATTTTTAGTGAATTTTCTTTCCAATGTCTACTGATGAATGAACTTCTTTTTCATATTCAATTATATAGGTGTATAATACATCAGGTATGCCATGCATTGATGGTATTGATCACTGATATTGAAAAGAGAAGAATATTCCATAAATACATTTCATTCCCTTTTAAATCAATACTCATTTTGAATTAATTTTATTACAGAGCCTCTTGAGGTAAAAGATGGTTCAAAAGGAGTTAACATCTGCCAGTCGCATGATGGAGGACCTAATGAAGAAGCATTTGGGGAAATCAAATCTGAAGACCTGCCTGAGGTTATGAAGAATCGTTGTGAGCATCCTGTGCACAGATATAGTGAGAGTAATTTTATTGATTAAATACTTCACCATAAACCTGCAATATATTTGAAGGTCTAAAATACAATATTTGCACATTTTTCTTGTAGTATTGTATGGCATTAACTAAACAAATCATTTCATTCTGTATTTTTTTGCTGAATTATCAATTGAAATTTATCTTGAACTTCTCTTGAAACAGCTGTCCAATTCATGCTATTTATACCAGTATCGGGTGTCTAGTTTGTTGCTACTTCAAATAGCTGCTTTATCATTTACCTTTCATCATGACACCAGGACTGCTCCTTGATTAGGACACAAGGACTGTAGCTTTTGCTACAACATAGTGACTGCTTCTTTAATTGTAACATTAGGACTGCAGCTTCAATTATTGAATTATCATACATTATGATTAGCACTGTAGGACTGCTGCTTATATTATGACATTAGGACTGCAACACACATTATATCCCACAAACAGTAAATTCCTTCTCAGTTCTGCGGAGGCCTGAAGAAAATATAACCTCAGAGTGCTGTGAGGGTGACAGCTCTGTCAAGGATGAGACTCCAATGAGGAAATTTGTCCGTTCTTTGAAGGTGAGTGTCAGTGTCTTCTAAACAATAACAAATTAATATGTGAATCTTGCCTAATATCATTGTAACCTCAGAGTGCTGTGAGGGTGACAGCTCTGTCAAGGATGAGTGCTGTGTGGGTGACAGCTCTGTCGAGCTGCCTGTTCTGCCATCAGGTTTCTCCAATGAGGAAATTTGTCCGTTCTTTGAAGGTGAGTGTCAGTGTCTTCTAAACAATAACAAATTAATATGTGAATCTTGCCTAATATCATTGTTGAAGTGGGTCATTTATTCAATCGGGTAAGGAAAGTTTTTCAGTCTCATCTTTGCATGCATTGCATCTATTGGAGAGCAAATAACGTTGCAGAAATTGTAATCTTAGCTGGTAAGATTATAAATTTAATTGTAAATGGTATACTAAAATTATATTCCTTCAATGTTTATTCTATTTGCCTTGCAGTGCTACATTGGGTCAATTGCTATCATACCATTCTCATAATTGTAACATGATAGTGATACATATTTCTCAGCCAGTTTCTGAAATGTCATAAGTTAACAAGTAAAGCTAAATTATAGGATTAAAGTTTGATTTTACTTCTATTCTCAAATTATTGAGGGGAAATTTGAATTTTGAGTGTTATTGAAAGGAGCTTGCAAATTTAGTGTCATGATTCTTAATTATTATCATATCAAGAATTATTCACCCTTTTGATTGTGTTTTGTCTATTCTCTTCTCTTTTGGGTGGTTGGGTTGGGTGTGGGCTGTTCAACTCACTTCTGGGGTTCACAATCTTGGACATCCATGGCCGGTCAGCAGATGAGCCGTTGATCCAGGCTACGAGCCGAAAGTATGCTGAGAAGGCCCTTGAGCAACGTGAAGAAAAAATTAGCCACAGGTGGGGTTCAGTTTGAAGTAACTAATAGCCACTTCTACAAAAATAATAATCAATGGTCACTTGTTTCTTGATTAAGGGGAGCATGTTGGTTAAAAGAAAAACATTTTATTTTCGGACGGAACATTATGAAAACTTGGTACAGATATGTAAATGTAAACACTATCTCCTTCTAGGGTTTTTAAGCTATAACATCGAGAGACATATCATTCAATGCGTAAAGACCAAATCTAACGATCATCCGGTAATTTTTTCGATTTTTTTTACAATATGACCCCTCCCCTCCGTATCAATATACAATCAAAGCAAAAAAGAAAAAGAATTATCTGATGATCATTAGAGAATAGAGATTTTTCTTACGAATCGAATAGTATATGTCTCAATGATGTAGCTTGAAAGTCATGGGAGGAGATAGGTTTGCAATCAGAAAATTTCAAGTTTTCAGGAGAGCCCAAAAAACCGAAATGTATAGATTTTATCCACTGCTTGGCACTGGATCCCTCGGCTTTGCAATATCCTTTTACTCGTAGAAGAGGTTATCATCAGTCGCCAAATGGCTCATTGTTGTCCAGTTCAGCAGCAAGAATAATAATTAAGAGGGAGAAGAAAGAAATATTCCGGGAGATAGGAATTCAAAAATTCCTAGCGCCTTATGACATGCTCGGAGTTGCCGAGCGTTTTTTCTTTGGCTTATGGCTAGGAGTTGCTAATTCCGAATCCTTCACCTTGAGTGCGGTAAGGTTGTCATTCGATTCTAGGCCAAGAGATAGAAGGAGGTTTCCAAGCGTCTAACCAAAGTTGTGGTCAAAGACCGTGCCCTGAACAACAAAGAGGACACGCTTCAGTGTAGTGAATTTCTCCTTGGAGCACCTCAACCAGATGCGCAGTATTTGGACCTTTAAATGACAAGACTAAAAATCTGAGAAGTGAAAAATTGAAAATTTTGGCTTCTCAGGTTTTTCTGACACGCTCCCCTTAAATCACTCTAAAGTTTGATCACTCTCACTTTAAAAATTCTTGCAATCAATAACAATGAGACTGCAATCTTGAAAAATTATGAATACGAGGAATTGAAGTATCAATCAGTAATTCAAAGAGAAAAGTCTGACCATATTTTTATGAGAAGGAGAAAAGAACAGGAAAAGTTTGGTGGAGAAGGTGGAGCGGGAACAGGTGGAGGCAGAGGGAAGTGGGCTGCTGTGGACCACCACTCGGTTGGCCTGGTTCGCGCTGGAAGGATGGGCCGTACTACGAGCTTGATGGCTGATGTGAATCAGCTGGTGGATGAGGTGAGCCATTAAGTGGACTAAGGTACATTATTCAATGTGCTGAGTGTTCATAAATTTTCATCAATGAAGTCTAGACATTGAATATGGCCAAATTAAATTATTGGTAAATTTTTGGTGTAAAAATGGCCTGAACTCCAGGATTTTATTTCTGGTGGCACATGACGCAGGATTGTTAAGAAAGTGCAACAGCTAGAAATTTACTATAGGTATTGAATAATTAACGAATGACTAGTGTGGATTAAAGTATTTGTTGTAATTTAAGGCAAATACTTCATTTTAAAGTGTAACTTAATTTATTCTATGGAAATTAGGTATATGCATCTATTACCAGGAATGACCTCCCGATCTCTGCTGCATCTTTGTCATGGGGGTACCCTGGCCCGCGCTGTGGGACGGGCTCACCGGGTACACTCCGTGGGACAGGCCAAACGGCAGAGCTCCCCCGCCAGACGGAGGCCCCATCTCTTCTCGTTTTTTCATAAGGGTCAGGGAATGTCGGCCTTCCGTACCCCCGTCCCACATCTTCGGCCGCTTATCCTCATTGGGCCACCCTATCGCCTACTCCCTTCTCACCTCTTCTTCCTGCTAGTCCTACTTCTCCTAACAAAGGGCCTTTAAAACAGGGCCTAGCACAGCGCGCTCGAGACGGTCCCTTGTGTAGAGGTGAGTCGACCCTGAAAAGCGTCTTGGCTGCTACGGCCAAACAGCACTTCCCTGCCGGACCCCGGAAGAACTTCTCCCCCTCAGTTGATCCTGGTACCCGGTTGCTTATCGAGCAACGGGATGGCATCAGGGCCTGTAACCCCAACGATCACTGGCTTCCAGACCTCAACATGGAAAGCTCTATTTCCAGGGTGGTCCAGTGGTTAAAGTTAAGAGTACCAAGATTGGAGCAGAGAGGCGCGGGTTCGATCTCAGCTCTGTGCGTTAGTTTCTGGTCAGAATCGGCAAAGAGGCCGGGCGGTTAAGCAAAGTAAAATTGAAGCAGTAAGTTGCGCGTTCGAGACCGCAACAAGCTATGAATATTCTGCGATGTTGAGAATCGGCGCCAGGCCTACGGCCTAATAAACGTTGAAACCGCTATTATTATTATTATGCAGGTTCATGCCAGGGACACCTGGCGGACACATCTCGTGTCGTGCAAAAGAAGCACTGGAATATCCTTTGCTCCCTGGCTTGATAGTGCCTCCGCCGCCCGCCCCCAAATCAGCCATGGGGCCATACTATAAAAAATTGTTACTGTCAACCAATCACCGATAGCTTTTCAAGCTGAACCCAGCAATTAAAGACGTGAAATCAGACAATGGACGTTTATATAGTACGGCCCCTGGTAGCTACCGTCAAACGAGGTAATAAGGGACGGTTTTGAGCGCTTTTAGCGCATTTTCTCATTTATGGAAAAAATGCACTATTGTGCTCGCCATGTCCGTCTGTCCGTCCGTCCGTGANGTCTGTCCGTCCGTCCGTGACCTAAAGTTTTCGTTGACGAGAAAATGCGCTCTCTGTCACTCACTGCAGTGAGTACTGAGTTATATTTTTTATACATAACTTCTTACCATGGAATATTTCATAAACGAGTTTAGGCTCATTTTAAATCTATTTGCAAGGGCTACCATATGACATCTTTGCTTTGCAAAAATTCCATATGCTATTCGTAAGGTGGCAGTCATTAAGTGAAATTTTTTCGCTGAGCGAGGTAAATGTACCTAAAATTTTTTGTTGTGGATTGATTTTTTTTTGGTAACTGGAGACTCTGCTAATCGAGGTAGCAGAGGTACACTTCCAAAATCTCAATTTTCACACTTTTTTCAGGGATTTTTTAGAGGTAGTAAATGTATGATTTCTTAACTTGCTTTATGCCACATAGATAGTAAAAATGTTGAACTTTATGTCGCTGTTTTTAGTTAAGACTTATGAAATATTTTGATTAGTTTAACTGCTACAACATTTTTCCGAAATGTGGGACCCCTGTCCCGATTTACCCCGCCGGTCCCTTATTACCCCGTTTGACGATAGACCAAGAGTTAAACTATGTGTTCCTTCAACCATGTCCCATATGTAGACCAAGAGTTAAACTATGTGTTCCTTCAACTAAGGTGTTCCTTCAACCATATCCCATCTGTAGACCAAGAGTTAAACCATGTGTTCCTTCAACCATGTCCCATATGTAGACCAAGAGTTAAACTATGTGTTCCTTCAACTTATGTGTTCCTTCAACCATATCCCATCTGTAGACCAAGAGTTAAACCATGTGTTCCTTCAACCATGTCCCATATGTAGACCAAGAGTTAAACTATGTGTTCCTTCAACTTATGTGTTCCTTCAACCATATCCCATCTGTAGACCAAGAGTTAAACCATGTGTTCCTTCAACCATGTCCCATATGTAGACCAAGAGTTAAACTATGTGTTCCTTCAACTTATGTGTTCCTTCAACCATATCCCATCTGTAGACCAAGAGTTAAACCATGTGTTCCTTCAATAGGGACATCAAGATTTCTCCCAGCACCACCGAGCAGATCCGCAACGAGCCCCGTGGTGGGGGCATGCGGGGCGGCAGTGGGTCTTTCATTGGCCCCGGAGGCCTTGGTAACTTATCGACGATGACGGCCCCAACTGACGATGCTGGCCCCAACTTCAATGATGGCTGTGGGACCAGACCCAAGGACAGAGGTTTGGATCTTCTTCATAATGTACTCCAGTTTTGCTTAATACCCTTGTATTAATGCTTACACTCATAATTTCCAAATTCTTACCCCATCTTCATGTCAATATTTACTTTTAAACTTGTGATAATACTTTCATACAGCCTTGTCATATATATACATTCAGCCAAGTATTCATACTCACACTTTTTTATGTATTAATTCATTTTGTCACCCTTGTATCAACGCTGGGTTATATGTTTGCGTCAACGCTCGCCAAGATTTCCTATAGGACATTTTATTTTTATTTAAGATTTTTATTCAAGATTTCCATTTATTTGTCATAGTCTGTAAGCTTGAAGCCTGACACTGCAATATTTACGAGCTGTTTGGGCGTATCCAGGAGACTTATCGTGTCGGGATATTGTATACAGGGGCTGTTGGGGCGCGTATCCAGGAGACTTATCGTGTCGGGATATTGTATGCAGGGGCTGTTGGGGCGCGTATCCAGGAGACTTATCGTGTCGGGATATTGTATGCAGGGGCTGTTGGGACGCGTATCCAAGGTACTTATCGTGCCTGGCTATTACAAAAGAACTGAAAATTTTTTCTTTGTGAGAAAATAGGGGCATTGCAAAACGGGGAAAGAGGGATTGGTTCTAAAATTAAAATACGATTTTTAAATTGGCCCAAGGTGTTGATTTCATGTGATGTGTGTGCAAGAGGTTCTAACAAAAATATGATGCCCTACGACGCCAACAACCGACTGGGAGGCACCAACAGGTTCATCAGAGGTGATGACTCCCGTGAAATGGGAGAGTGAAACCAGTTACAAATTGTTGAACATCAATCTGCGTGAGTGATCTTGAACTGTGTCTGGAATGTCTGGAAAATGGAAATAGACTCTAGAAACTACTAAAAAATCAACTAAAATAATGCAGCAATTTTGTGGCTCAATTCAAATTCGGACATTAATGCTGCTGACCAGATAGCTTCATTGTCCACAGAAAATATTTCTTGGAGAACTGAAGCATGCTATTTTTGAACTGTATACGTACATATATACTCTGCGAAGGGATACTTTTGGGGTTCATAAGAGGCAAGACATTATACTTCTTCTTCCGTTTTATGAGGACTTGGTTGTTCACCACCCACCTCTCCTCTGGACGGTCAGAAATGGCCAAACTGGATCGCATTGTAGATAAAAGGCCAGATTAAACTTAGAAACCCTAATGCCAATGGGTGTTTTAAATAGTTCAACAAGCTACTTTAACACTATATTAGTAAATAGAGCAAAGTTAGTCACCCTTACCTATCAGGGGGGCCTACCAAGACAGAGAGCAAGGGCCAGAAGGTCCAGGCTGGGTTATCATCTAAAGTTCAGCCGGAGGCCGCACTTAGATGAAGAACTAAGACCCGCTGATACTACAACTGCTACACTACTTGACAACTACCATCAGGGTCGTACTTCATAGGGGGCTCACTGAGCGATTTGTTTAGGACTCTTCAGAGGATCCTGTACATAATCACATTTACAATAAGACGTGTGAGATAGAATGAGATAGTGGCATCAAAAGGATAGTTGAGGACCTCGAATCGGTTGTTAGGCAAGACTACTGTTCTCTCAGGCACCCTGTGCTAAGAAGGGTACTTAGAAAAGGCTTTGACTATCATGAATTATATTTGTTGGGTGAAGTCACTGGTGGGGGACTGGTGACCCAAGTCCCCCAAGTTGGGGGACTTGGGTCACCACCCAAGTTGAAGTGGGGGTTTGAAGAAATTTAGTAATTTTCACAATTTCAAGTGTGTTACCTGTTATCTGTTACCTCCCCAGAAGTTTCCCTGAGCTTCTACTGCATTGAATGTCTACATGTATGTTTAGACGCGCATGGTGAATCTTGAATTTTTGTTCAGGATTTAACAACAATAACATGGGCGGTGGTGGCGGATTTGGTGGTGGACTAGGAGATCGAATTGTACTTTAAGGCCCACCAGGCGAGACTTGCTGGACAAGCTCTCTGGCAGTTCCTGCTTGACATTAACTCAGAATGATGGAACTAATCCCGTAATCCCGTAAAATATAGTTGAAAATGAGTAAAAAGGATCATTATGTTGTATTAAACTTGCAAGGTGAGTAAAGAGTAAATTCTATATCATTTTATATGTACATAATCTTGTTTTATTTGTGGTTAATTTTCATTCCAAAGTCTACTGATAAATGTACTTCTTTTTCGTATTCAATTATATAGGTGTATAATTGAATGTAATGAATAATATGTATCCCCAGATGTTACCTTGAGCTTCTACTGTATTAAATGTCTACCTGTATGTTAGACGCGCATGGTGAATCTTGAATTTTTGTTCAGGATTTAACAACAATAACATGGGCGGTGGTGGCGGATTTGGTGGTGGACTAGGAGATCGAGTCTTCAACGATGGAAGTGGCGTGCGGGTCAGTTGTATTCAACTGCATTTATTTATTCATCATTCATTTAGGTGAATGCAACATCAATTATGTTCACCAAATTCTTGAACCTCGTATTTAAGTAAAAGTTTTGTGTAGGTTTGAAAGGTGTAAGAAATTAAAATGTGTTTTGGAAATGGTCCTTGAGTTGCTACTAGCAACAAAGCTGTCATTTGTGAACAAGCGTCTCATTGCTTGAATGAAGATTATATATGATCATGGAAGTTTGTTCAATCCACGATGAACTGCTATGTCATCAACACTATAAGCGTGTATGTCATGCATTGTCCGGCTCAGTTGTAATTTATTTTCCGCCTGTGTTGACTGGATGTCTGTCCTGCAGTGTCCAGTTCGGTTTTTATTTCTGAAGCTGCTGCAAACTCTCGTGATTTGCAGGGCAAGAAGCATCCGCGGTTCCCGACTCATGGCGTCCATATGCGGGGCCTGCCATTCAAAGCCACCGAGCACGACATCATGAAGGTGAGTCTTGCTTATAATGACCATATGGTCTTGCCCGTTGAGGAAATCATTCGCTCTATTGCTGTCCTAATTTCATTGCAGTTAAAGTGTTTAAAATGAGACCAGGGCTTTCCTGCAAACACCACACACAAAATACGGTGGCCATTTCAGACAGGATCTGCTCTAATATTTATATTCATTAAGCTTGGGAAGTTAAGTGCTTTGATAATGGCGATATTATTCAAACAGATTGTAAATATAATTTCGGTTATCCCGTGCCGTTTTGTCAGCTCATTTGCCTGTCAGATATCTTAACTTTTTTATTTAAAAAAAGGTGATTGTCGCAACTTATCCTACGTTAGTTTTTTATGTAATTTACGTATTACGTAGATAGTCATTAAGTTAATAATTTTGAGGTTCCACAAATAGTGACTTGTAAGTTATATGCGTTTATGAAGCTCAAATTGACCTTATTTGACTATAATTGTGAATCAATTCATGTGTACATTATCTTCTTTGAACCATACATACACATGCACTGTCTGTATGAAGCCACTCACTGAAAGGATGAAATTTCAACATAAAACGAGTTTGATTTTTGTTTGAAACCTCTACTCCAGTGAAGTGCTCCAACTTTTTGTTTGTGTGTAGTCACTGTTTCTCGTACTGCTTATTTTCAATACAATCTTGAGCCAGAGTTTTTCTCAATTAAACGTTCACGCTACGTATTAGTTCGTTAATTCATTAATGTGAGGTCACCATCGCTTTCGGCACGACTTATGATATTGTTTTTTATCATGATATTGCAACTGAAATTGAATCACAGCAAAAGGAGAAGATACCTAGCTTCTAGCGATTGATTCTTATGCTGAGGCAGAGTTGCTGATTTAGGAACTTTTAACACACTCACAATCCTTATCTAAACCATTGGAAATGATGAACATTAGCTCGGCTATCAATAACATCAAGTGTGGAAACCCATGTCAATGTATGTTCTTAGTGCTCTCTCAATTTCAAGTCTTGTGATCTGATTACTAATCCCGGTCAACAAAGCGCGTGCAATAACTCTATATCATGAGGTATTTATGAGTAATTTCTGCAGTTCTTCAAGCCTCTGCAGACGGTGACCATAACCTTCATTTGGTTACAGNCATTCTGTCCTTATCTCTGGCTAAGGTGAGCAAGAGCATTCTGTCTTTACCTCTGGCTCAGGTGCACAAGAAATGATTGTGGTTAAATCAGTATTTCGGAAATAGGTATGACGTTCATATTGACTGGGCGAGTTACGTGCGACACTCAATTACCACCATATAAGAAACTAGGATTGATTTATTTAAAGGTATTGGGGTCCAGTGGACATCATGTGTAATAAATGTTATGAATTTAAATAGCTTCCTACTAGTTGTCACGAAATATTTTCCTCTGAATGAGATTCACATATCAGTATCACGTCTAATGCTTACCTTGTCTTGTGCAGCACAATGAATACATGAGGCATCGATACATTGAGCTCTTCCTAACCTCCTCCCCAGAAGGTGAGCTTTTTTCTTCATTATTAATCTCATTTCTTTCATTTGGGATGCAATTCACTAGAGTGTTTCGTTTTAATTTTACGTATATTTTCCTATTGTACATACTTGATTAGAAGGTCCAGTGAATGGCATTCATGTGTTATGCTAAATAAGCGATAACATATTTGAGTCTTATTGGTTGGCTTAGTTTTTGTGTTGTACTTTAAGGCCCACCAGGCGAGACTTGCTGGACAAGCTCTCTGGCAGTTCCTGCTTGACATTAACTCAGAATGATGGAACTAATCCCGTAACAGCGAGAGGTGAACAAAATTCACTCCGATGACAGATTTTTTTTTGTAACAAAAATTCTCTTTGCCTGTATTTCTCTGTTGGGGGCCATCTTCTTTGGCCCCGTTTAAAAAAAAACTATCAACTTGGGATTTTTCTCACTTGAATTACTAATTAAAAGTAGACTCAGGTGCAGAATAAATCGGCATTGACACTACCGTTCTAGACACCCCACACCACATACATGAAAAGCGTTAATGCCACGTTGAAAGGTTCGCTGAGAGTGGGCGTAATAAGATCCACGTATCAGCATACCACATGCGAGCTTCAGGATGCCTACCTAAGAACGATGCTTTAACAACTGTTCAACTCCTGCGAGTCCTCTGTGAAATATTGTATGTGTGTTGCAGATGATGGATTCAATAACATCAACATGGGTGGTATGGTCACCAACCTGAATGTCAGCACTTGAAGTTTCAACTCTAATAACGCTGGTGGAGATTATGCTGGCAATCGTACTGGCATGGCCTACTGCATGGCCAATTCATTGCTCCACCTAATATTTATTTCTCACGCAGGACGAGTGTCGGAAACTTTTAATTAACTTAAACTTTAAACTTAACGGAAATTAAACTTTAAACTTAAACGGAAACTTTAATTAAAATTCTCACCATCATGTAAGTACTAAATACTCCATGCATTTGTTGGTACGTGCTCTCAATAGTGCTGGTTGTTTTCGAGTGAGAATTTTCCAAACATGGTTATTTATTTTTAGGATGTAATATTTTTATTTGTGATCAGTTTTTTGTAGACGATTTTCTCAGATTTAACGTTCAGAAGTTATATTATAAATGAGCTTGCGAATGAGTTGTGAGCTAAGGAAAAATATAAATTTTATTTTAGTATTATTAAGTAAGTAGTTAAGTATCAAGCGACGTTACCGAAAATTCTCGGTGCAGTAATGATACTTTGCGTATGTGACCAAGACATTAATATATATTGTTCCTTATCTGTTGCTAAACCTAAAGTGAGAAATCTGATAATTTGATGTTTTATTTTTCCTTCTTCAACTATTTTTTACATGTACGAAAAATTTTAATTTTCTTTTTTTCAAACTGTTGGATATTCATGAGAAATGCTACCGTCCATGCTACATAAGTCACCATTTGCGGAAAACCCGCTATAATGTAGAAATATCGAGATATGTAACATTTGTGCAGGGTTGACTTATGTTTCAACTTAAGAGAAAAATCCACTCCAATCCGATCATTTAATAAAATGGAAGTTACTGAGACTCCTCGGAAGTGGCGTCTCATATTATATTATAATATAATGTAATAAATTGTACGATTTGCGAGACATCGACCGTATATTGTTCTTTTTGAAAGTTGGTTGATAAGAAACCTGTATACAATGTATGGATATATATTTGTGTGTACGATATACAGGTAAATATTCTCAGTTCATTATTCTTGGTGAAAATATAGTCTCGATCCTACATTCGCTTTCAATGCAAGCATTACAATATAATGGCAAAAAATCTCATCAACTGCAATAGCTCGATAAATCAACGTATACTTTGCTTTATACCATCTTATGCAAGTATATCACGCTGACTAACAATTTCAGACTGAATATTCAAACCCATTAAAAATTTCATCTAATTACCATTTCTTAGGTTCCTCAAGACCAGTACTCGATCTGAAAACCACATCTTGTTTATAGTACAAACTTGAACTTTCAAGACAAATAATCTAGCCAATTGAAGCGCACTGCAGATCGATTCACAGGAGCGTGACTAGAAGAAAGGAGCGCGGGTGTGATGAGGGCCGATGTTTACTCCAAGAGCTGATGAATGCTGTGGTAATAAGTGCTCGACTTTCTCCATTGTGTCGGTAAGGCGACAACTTGTAAAGCCTGCGTGCTCTTCATTCACGAGCCGACGATGTTCCCTGCCGCCATTGTGAGCGCGCAACAATTGTTTACCTCGAGCCAGGCTCACGTTGAGATGGAAGGAAAATACGGAAGGAAGGAGCTATTGATAGTTGATACAGAAATATAATAGGATTTTAGAGGCGCGAATTAAATAGATGGCTGCAGAGAAGGTTAATTTCATGAAATATTCAACACTGCAAAAAGAAAATATTCAGCAACGGATAAAGCTACGGCAAAAATTCTCTGAGATTTTGCGCGGAAGAATTCGTAAGCAAGGGAACGTGTTGAGCACGAAATCAAAGATACTTTTTAGAATATCTTCTTTCGTATGTGTCATTGATTGCAAATAATTGCAAAAGAGCAGGGAATGCGGACTAAGTGCATTTGTAAAACAGCGATTAAAAATAAGAGGAGTCAGAGTTGGCAAAAAATGGTGAAGGCACATGCTATTGAAGAAAAAAAAGTCTAGCACTGTGTTCTATCAATTCGTTTCGAGCAGGAAGATTACCAAGAGTTAAAAAAATATATATTAATAGTTAAGAGGAGGAATTCGAAGGCGTCGTTGTGTTGAACGTAAAAATAAAATGTAATAAAACTGTAATAATTAGGAGTTCAAAATAATTACTTGTTGGTTATCCTGGGGTTGCCCGTGAGAATTGCAAAGTAGAATTTCAATTTGAGATCCATTCTTTTCCTAATCTTCCATTAAAAAAAATTTCGAGTTCAGGCCAAATCCCGACTTGATAAGTATCACAGATACGCTCTCTTACAGCCCCTATCTATTTACGGTGACAGTCATCAAAACATACATGAAAATAACCTGCAAACAAACTTGTGTAATATATAGTAAGAAAGGCTATTATACAGAGGGTAACCGCGATACTCATCGAATTGAAATATTACTTGCGCCTGGAAATTTATTCATACTGGGATAGTTATAAGGAATTGCATGACCGGAATGAAGGGGTTCGGTTTTCCGGACTTCATTCCGGAAATTTCCGTTCCTAAATTTGTATGTATAAATGCAGTTTAAAAGACGTAAAATAATCCATTCATATTTCTAAGCGAGATTCAAACAAGAGTTCATCGTAAAATTTTAATTTACAACGGTCTTTCTTTAATCAGCGTAGGCTAAATGAATTAAATTCTTATTAACGGCATTAGAGATAATGGGATTACATATAATATCCAGGTGATTTTTTAGGATTAAACGCCGGGCTAACCTGCTAGTTTAATGAAAAAAATTTCACTATGCTTATTTTCATAATGTGAAATTATTTTTTACATCAAGCTTAGATGCGCATTATATATTGTTTAAACTTTAAAATAATCGAAAATTCGGCATTAAAATGTAATGAGAACTCCACACGTGCATCAAATTTTTTCAAAATTCAACGTGAATGTAACTATGGGAGTGTTCAGATAGTATATGACTTGATTGCTTTTACTTCCTCTCTACCACGCTGAATTTGAGGTTTTAGATTTATTAATAGCAGCAGACCCAGAGTAATTTGGGTGGGGGTAAACAGGTTCCAGGGGTGGGGTGACAAGCGGGAGTTCCAGGGGTTACGGGTTAGCTCAATTCCAAGTTAGTATGACGCTAGCCGGTGAAGAGTGAGGTTGTGTGGCGCTGTAAGCGTGCCGTTCCATAACATGATAGCGGCTATGCACGATGTTTATTCAACTGATGAGTGATAATGTGCTTACTTGAAGTTATCAGTGCATGGTGTTGTGGTATAAAGTGAAGTGCTGCAATGATGCTTAGAAACATGTGGATTTTTGGGCTAATTTTTTTACTGCCCGCCCACGCTTTTATTGTGGTCGTACCTGATTCAAGTGAAGTCGGTACCAGTATTTTTGAAGCTAATTTGGATGGTCCAACTAACTATAAATTAGATCCTAGAAGAACCGATAGTCACGTGCACCGATTCGTGCACGTAAATTACGAAACCGGTGAAGTTACAGTGAAAAGAGAACTGGAATGCTCAGGGGCTTATTATAGTAACCCCATTTCATTGTGGGTAGAGGCTTGGTCAGATGCGAACCCTGCCCTTGATTATGTTGCTTACCCGCTTCGAATCCTGGTGACAGGTTCTTCTTGTGATCACGTGGGGGCTCTGACGAAAGAGGTTTCCAGTTGGAGAGACACCACCTCGCTTTCGATTGCTCTTCCTGAATCATACGGAAAGGATGAGTCTGGCAGCGTTTGCATCCAACGTTCCCAGGTAATCGTGCGTATCCCAGCATTGCTGCCCAAGTCTCTTCAGACATGCAAGCTGAACTACAACCGAGTTTCAGACGCCAGATTTGCTGTTGAAAAAGAAGCAGGTGATTTAGTCAGTCTATCGAATGTGTGCCTGGGAGAAATTACACGAGTAACTGTTTGGATTCGGCTGCAATGCCACCATCTTGACACTGCGTACGAACACGGCTTGATGCTTCTCCTCCACAATGATGCGCCTCCTCCAGAAGGGACTGTGAGACGCACAAGAAGACAAATGGCTGCTGCAGCTCCGTACTTCGAAAGACCGCTTATTGAAGCGCAGGTTCGCGAAGAAGAGAATGAAGGGACTCCAGTGACCACCGTTACTGCGACTGACCCAGAAGGAGCAGCTCTGTCATACTCCATAAAAGCTGTGCGTGATAGCAGGTCCGAAAATATGTTTAACATTGATCCCTCGTCTGGACTCGTGTCAACGACCACGCGTCTAGACCGCGAGCTCATGGATGAACATTATTTTCGAGTGATTGCTGTTGATCAAGCCGCATCTCCTCCTAGGACTGCCACCACTAATCTCAAAGTCACGGTTGCTGATGCTAACGATCACGATCCGGTTTTTGAGCGTGAAGAATATTTTAAATCAGTGCCAGAAGGACCTAATAGCGGGAACACGCTTCTTAAAGTCCGTGCTACCGATCAAGATGCTGGACCCAACGCAGCAGTGACTTACACTTTGATCGAATCTTCAGATCCAGATAAAATATTTCGTTTGGATCCTCGCACTGGTGAACTAGAAAGTCGACTACCGTTAGATAGAGAACAGCAAGCAATTTACCACTTGACCGTGCAAGCCGAAGATGGTGGACCTCCTCAAGAACGCCGATCAACAACTGCAAAAATAGTTCTGACTATACTCGATGAAAATGATAACTACCCTCAGTTTTCAGAAAGCACATATACGGTAGAGGTACCTGAAGATATTAGCGCAGCTGCTTCACCAGTAATAGCACACATTCGAGCTATAGACGCTGACTCCGGTGAAAATGGGGAAGTTCGATATGCCATAATTGGAGGAAATACTGCGGGACATTTCACAATTGATGGATTAACCGGAGAAGTGAGAGTTGTGTCGCCGCTCGATCACGAGGGGACCAAAAGTTACCGATTGGTCATTAGGGCGCAAGATTCTGGGTCTCCACCTCGCTCGAAAACGACTCAGCTTTTGGTGAATGTTAGAGATGTTAATGATAATGTACCTCGGTTCTACACTCCTCTTTTCCAAGAAACAGTACAGGAAAATGTGCCTGTAGGATACTCGATTGTACGAGTACAAGCCTTTGATAGTGACGAAGGAGATAATGCAGTATTGAGCTACAGACTTGAAGGAGGCGGAATCGATTTGCCAGTTTCAGTCGACCCTTCAACAGGCTGGGTTGTGACTCAAAAAGAACTTGATAGAGAAGAGAATCACCATTACACTTTTACCGTCATAGCGGCAGATCAAGGAGATCCTCCTCGGTCAGCCACTTCTACTGTAGTGCTACAAATACAAGACCAGAATGACAACGATCCTATCTTCAATCCCAAAAATTACGAAGTGGCGATCAGCGAAACGGAACAGCCTGGCACTCCAGTGGTAACCGTAACGGCCACTGATAGAGACGAAGACCCGCGACTGCACTACGCTATCACTTCCGGTAATCAGCGCGGAAGATTTTCTATCACGGCCCAGAATGGTCGAGGTGTCATTTCCCTGGCTCAACCATTGGATTTTAAACAAGAACGGCGATACGTATTAGCAGTTACCGCTACTGATGCGGGAGGAAGACATGATTCTGCGACAGTTTATGTTAATGTTACAGATGCAAACACATTTCCACCTGTCTTTGAAAATACTCCGTACTCTGCTACAATTTTTGAAGATGCTCCTGCTGGCAGTACAGTTCTGGTGGTATCAGCTGCTGACAGCGATTCTGGTGAAAATTCTAGAATTACATACTCACTCAGCGGAGAATCTCAACCAGAGTTTACGATCCATCCGAGTACCGGTGCCATAACAACCACTCGGCTTCTTGACAGAGAGAGTCAAGGAGGTTATCTACTTACGGTCACAGCAAGAGACAATGGCAAACCTCCTCTTGCAGATACGACCGATGTTGAAATCACTGTTGTGGATGTGAATGACAATGCTCCGGTGTTCTCAGCCGCGTCTTATCGCGCGACGGTCAGTGAAGACAAGCCTGTGGGTACATCAATTGCTCAAATAAAAGCGAGCGATGCTGATGCCAGTCATAACGGGAATATTCGTTACACATTTGAAGGTGGAGATGACGGAGACTCAACCTTCGCTCTCGATCCTACGTCGGGAGTTTTACGAACTGCTCGGCTGTTGGACAGAGAAACAGTTTCCAGGTACAATCTTATTGCCTTAGCTGCTGACAATGGTGACCCACCACGCTCGACCTCTGTTGTAATAACTGTCGATGTTGATGACATCAATGATAACGCTCCAATGTTTGACACTGAGCACATTCAGTTGTACATCGCCGAAAACTCGCCCATTGGGTCAACCGTTGGCGAAGTCCGCGCTCGGGATCCCGATGCTGGCCGCAACGCCATCATTGAATACAGCATCACAGGAGGGGTAGATGCCGGTGACTTCGTTATGGTAGCTCATCCTACCGAGGGCAGGGCCGAACTCATCACTCGTATTGAGTTGGATTATGAGTCATCCAAGAAAAAATACTATCTGGAAGTGAGCGCCACGTCCGACACTTTGAGTTCGTATGTGCCCGTCACTGTACATGTGGTTGATGTAAACGATAACAAGCCTGTGCTTGCCGACTTCAGGATTATTTTCAACAATTTCAAGGATCATTTCCCAGTTGGACCTATCGGCCGAGTCCCTGCCGTAGACGCCGACGTCACTGATCAGGTATGAATAATTCTAATTATTCAAGATTCATATAGAATTTTAGCATCTTATATTAACTTTTTTTAATTTATGCTCAACATCTGTTCGATTGTTGCGCCGTACCACATCAATAAAATTCTGGTCGTTTATTTGCGTTTTTCACATTTTATTTCGCTTTAAACTCGTTCCATTTCATATGCTTTGCATCACTTGCTTTTTGCATTTACTAATATTTTGTATTTTCGCATTGCGAATCCTATATTTTTTGTTGCTGCACTGCGTCTTTAATATTTTGCCGTGTTGCCTGTGCTTTCGTTTCTACTGTTGCGTCTGCTATCACTTGTAATGTAATTCTTTCGTCTCTCGCTGTGTAGTGTCTTTTACCTTTGTTGCGTCGATATCGTTCGCTGCGTTACGTCTTATCTCACCTGATACTTTGCGTTTTTTATTGTTTAGAGTGTTGTCTCTTTTCCCTTTGCTCTCGTGCGTCTTTTACTTACTATGTTGCGCCTTTTATCAGTTGCTACGTCTTGGTCAGCTGCTCGTGTCAAGCGAGCGCGCTAGCGCATCAAGCGACGCGTGAAATGGGGCGTTAGACCGACGTCTCTGGCCTCACAACCAGCGACGTCTCAACAGTTCAGTTGTGACGGCCACTGAACTTGACCGAACGCCCAATTACAGTTTGCGCGAGACTGGTTCGAGACAGTAGAACAACTGGCAATCTACTGGTGACTAACTAGAGGTCGATGGCAAATTAGAAGTCTAGCTGCTGGTGACTGATTCAACGAAGAAACTCATGTGGGTTTAGTAAGGTGGACTCTACTCAAGTTGGGTTTAGTTGTGAAACTCAAGTTGGAGCTGCCAATGCAAGGCCCAAATTCAATAACTACTCGTTATTAGGCCAGTGAATATGTTACTCGATGTTTGTTTACGCCGCGGAGTAATGATGTGAGAATATAGCTGCGGATTCCAATTGCAGTAGCATTGGAGTTCGTGTTTAATATCATATCCAAGCCTACGCGCTGGTGCGTACAAGCTCTCATTCATTGTTTTAAGCCTGGTTCTTGATAATTGAGAGGCTGGATTCGCATCAGTCATATTTTTTTCATGTCTGTCACTGATAAGAGCAATGACAAGTCCTTCAACTGATCAGTTTTTGTCCCTATCTCGTCTGGTTGTGGCTTCGATTGTGTGATCCTCATGAGGCGTAGCCCGTACATAAATCGCAGGCGCTGGCTGTTTAAAAATGTAAGAAAAGCTATTATTGTTTTAGTTGCCGATCTAACGTCACCATTTGGGTTTATTTTTAATGTGATACTCTTCGGTAAAAATTTGCTTTGCTCGCTTAGCTGTCGGTTCCTGATAATTTTCCCTACATGTTAATGAGTGCATCTAATAAGTGTTCAGATGAAAAGACTTCTATTGGAGTTTCCCTACGGCTGGAATGCTAATGTTAGCATAGATGTTCACGAGATGTTTACAATAAAAGATCCACTACAGCACGATTTTCTATGTCTGACATAGATGTTAGTGCCTATAGTGGACTATAAGATCCAGTATTGCTGCAGGTAGAAATGATGTTGACATAAATGTTCTTGAGTGGTGCTCACCAAAAGATCCGTACCGCAGAAATAGCTGATATTGCAATAGATGTTTTTTTTAGAAGTATGTACTGAAATATCTCGTATAAATATATACCATAATATCTCGTATAAATATATACTATAATATATCGTAAAAATATATACCATAATATCTCGTATAAATATATACCATAATATATCGTATAAATATATACTATAATATCTCGTATAAATACATACCATAATATCATCTCGTATAAATACATACCATAATATCTCGTATAAATATATGCCATAATTTCTCGTATAAATATATACCATAATATCTCGTATAAATAAATACCATAATATCTCGTATAAATACATACCATAATATCTCGTATAAATACATACCATAATATCTCGTATAAATACATACCGTACCATAATATCTCGTATAAATATATGCCATAATATCTCGTATAAATATATACCATAATATCTCGTATAAATATATACCATAATGTCTCGTATAAAATACCATAATATCTCGTATAAATATATACCATAATATCTCGTATAAATATATACCATAATATCTCGTATAAATATATACCATAGTTGTTGGCGAGAGGTGCAGTATGTTCTGAGCAGCGTGCCCAGTAAATTGTCTACCAGCGCACGCTCAATGCAAGGCACATAAACAATGCATGGCGGTGCAGCCTGCCGCCGTGTCGCCTGTCGCTTCGATCCGCGCCGGTTGAGAAGCGAAGGCGGATCATCAGCAACTACGATTTCAATTTGTCACTTGCTTGACTTTCCGTCTTTTAACTCGCATGGTTTTTAATTGCATCTTCATAAATTCTATATTTTTTATCGACTAGATTTGTTTATATATTATTTTACTGATAATCGTATAATCAATTTTATTATTTTCGTATGGGTAATTTCATTTTATTATGACTTTTATGTACGGTTGTATTGTTTGCTGAAATAAAAACATTCTAATTAAAATAATGTAATGTTACAAGCTCTATATACTCACTTTAAGTTTGTCGATAAAGTTTTCTTTTTCAATAGGTTTACTAAAACATAGTTTGTTATTTTTTTGTTCATTGCTGCGACCTCTATTTTTTTTATCAAATTCGAGACATGAGGCCTTGATGGTAATGATGTTTGGTATTTCAAAATCAAGCTATGAAAATCAAGCTTACGTCTTAAAATCAAGCGTGAAACTTTGATGAAATGGATCAAACACCTTCACATTCAAGTTTCTTTCAAGTTTACATAGATGTTTTTTCCGTTTTAGCTTCCCTTACGCAATAAACGTATTTTTTTTATTTTATAGACAAAGCGATACAGAAATAACCCGATTAACGAAAGAAAAGATCACTTTTTTAATCCTCTCATTTAATCTTGTGAATTTTATCTTTTTTCAAATCGTTGTGACATGATCAATATATATCTGTCTCGTAACTTTTCATAATATCCGGCACACAATTTACTTTAGAGGCAAAATTTTTGTCCAGATTTATACCTATTTCAGGACTGAACGTGTCGCAATTTTTTCGCATATTTTTCGTGTCGTCTTATTGTTTTGCCTCATTTCGAGAAGACGCTAAAATTTATTACGGAATGCCTTGCTAATTTTACAAAGTCATTCTCCTGTGTTGAGATCAAAGCTCCTGTCATCTCAATCTCATTCGCGTGTGTCAAATTCCGTTCAAACTTCATTCCATATTGACATGCTACTCTATGCATTAAGCTTTCGTTAAGACGTTTTAAATTTAAAAATTTTCAGCTGCTACCAGTAATTTAAAGAACATCGACCTCACGCAGATCGTCAGCACTGCTTCATATTATATATAAAATAAATTAATCTCATTTTATAGTAGCTTTTAAATTGCGTTTTTTTCCTAAGCTTGCGCAGTTCTCCTCGTCTCGACCTTTGAAAAAACTCTGAGCGTGCATTCACCGGTCTCCTTATCCATTTTCAGGAGCTTTATTATCCTAATCGGCTATTATACTTTGTGAGAACCAACCACCGGCTGCCGTGTGCTTCTCAGGACGCCACTCTCTTTTAAAAAATTGTGAGCCTGTATGCTACAGGAAGTCTCATGGGCGAGCTAGTTCACCCTTGCGGCAAGCGGCTATACTCACGAAACTTCTCACTTTCTGCGCATTCCATTCGCTGTTGGAGTGCGTTAACTGTTTAACTTCTTCCTAATTCGTGTGTTAAATGAAGATTTTGTCATAAAGTTATCTCTGTGTATTGTTAATAATTATAATTCATTTTAATTAGTGTTAACGAATAGCAAGTCAAGATATTCGTTATAGAATCTTGCGTCCGTGCTCAGCGGGCAATTTACTTATAGTTACTATTGAAATACCTTCATGACTAGGTTCTCAACTGCATATCATGAAAGGAAGGGTGGATAAATCTTGTGAGCAAGTTTCCGCCTTGGAAATTCTCACACGTCTTCCTGATAACATAAGTCATTCAGAATTGCAGCAGTTTGTGGGGGCAGAGGCCGTGACATCGGACAGCCTAACCCGACTAAATTAACGGCCGTTTAAAAATTTCCGAAATGAAGGCATCATTTGACATCGTTTTCGCGCGCGGTAAATGATACTGATATTACTTGATCAATGCATTGAGTTCGACGTTGAGTTTATTCCACGGCTCGAGAAAATACCGCTCGTTTTAAATGAAAAATTTTCGGTTTATTAAGTTCATTGCAAGTATGTATCTTGAAATGACATTGGGTGATCATGCTGCTCTGAGCAGTTAAACTGATAATTACTTCTTTATGTTTGTGCATATTCTGTTTGTGCATATGACTGTTGGTATTTTAAAGTGCTTGTATTTCAAGTTCGTGGCTCCAGCAATACGCCTGTCGTCAATAAGGCCTTGCCGGGCACGCGGGCGCCTGCCATATCGATCTCGCTTCACAAGTTGCGTGCCAGGGAGCAATGCGTGCCGCCCAAGCATAAACTTGACCTGCTCGAGGCTCACTGCACTGCACTGCACAACTGCACCATCAGCGACAACCTGCCTCGCGTGACCTAGGCCTATACTTTCAAAAAAAGTTAAGAGATCGTAAGTTCATCCGCCAATCATTGACGGCCTTTCAAACCAAATCCACCAATCATAGACGAGAAAATAGAGCGTAAGTACTTACGTTCACTGAGCGAGTTTTGAAAGTATGGGCCCTGATGTTCAATGCCTCACTCACATGCTCGGGATATTACGGCATTGATAATGATTCTGGAATAATTACTTTTTGTTTAAGAGTGCTTGTTCATATCCGTGGTATTGGTAGGTAGGGATGTAATATTGTGGCTTACGTCTTGCAACCAGTATGTCTAACCTTACTATAGAATGGTTGCCTGTTACAATAATTATTCATATGCGCTAATTAACCGGTGAATAAGTTTAAGAGACTTAAGATTAATGTAGTCTCTTGATAAGATCAAGAGACTTAAGATTAATGTAGTCTCTTAATAAGATTAAGAGACTTGCTACATACATAAGAGTAGCTTACTTAAACTTCGATCACAGGTTGCATATTCCGAAAGTTATTAGTTCGTTGGTCTCAACTTAGCTTACATAATCTCTCAGCTGCGTCAACTCTGAAATTGGAACTGATTCTCTTATCAGCCAGCAATTAATCCTACACATTTATCTGTATTCTCAGAGGTGCGGTGCGAGGTGCCCTCGGATTTATTTTGATTTAAGTTACATTAATTAAATTAAGCGCCGTCGGCAAGCACGACGAAGTTGTTTGTATGCTAATGTGGTGGCGTGATTCTGACACCTGAACTTATATAATTTAAAATTATTTTTTTTACGATTTATTCCAAAAATAATTGCTTATCATCTGGCACTTCCTGAATATGTTCCAAAGTTAAATTACTTCCATTCTTGCCATAAAGTATTGTAGCATCGAGCATGGGGACCTTCAAAATGTATACATTATAAAGCAATATTTTTTTGGAACTATAAATCAATTTAAGGGACTACTTGATAATAATATACAGAATTCTAGAGGATGATCCGTTTGCTTCTCGTTCCTGTGCGCTGGTAACGCGTAGGTCGCGTGAGGGTTTGTACCTGGACGCTCTTGAGGTTGCAGAATCACGACAGTAATTCCTGAGTTAGCGAGGGAAGTTTGCAACGTAATGGCTTAGCAAGAATTGCTGGGTAGTTCATGCGCCTTACAAGTTCTTTGATTAAAATTCAGCTCATGTGTATATATTTTGGTACGTATATACCATAAAAGTTGTGCTTATATACCAAATAAAATATGCTTAGAATGTTTCTTGTTGTTTAATGATGATTTTTTGATATTTGGATTGCTTCAAATGACGAACAATGAGATCATTACAAAAAAGTTCAACTCTAATAATTTATCGCCACGATTTTCCTTATTAAATATGTTGCTATGCAGCTATTTTAATCATCAAAATATTGTTCTCTCAAGCAATATATATCTACATTAATTTACTCAGATCGTAAGAATATTGACACAGCACCACTGTTTTCGCGCTGTATATTAGATTGCATTATTTAAATTTTGATAATCTTTTATAGAAATGGTATCCTATAGAGTCGATCGGAGACTGTTGTTATAACAGCATTCACGACATTTTTTCTACTCATTAAACATTTTCATTGTGTTCTGTCTATCATCTTGACCACTCAGCCATCGTATGGTGCCGACATTTGCGTCGTCCGTTGGTCGGCATGCCTCTCCTGTAGTGATTTTCTATGTCATTCTTTGTGGCATTTTCATTTACTGGAGGATGTGTCCTCATTGTGATGCCGATCACGCGGCTCACTGCTGCCAGAGGGGAGTTTTGAACCCCGTACCAGCCACGGGAGGAGACATTCTAGGCTGAAAATATCCTTCGTTCTTATTGGATTCAATCAAATGGCTAATGGTTAGCCGCTTTTAAATTTATTTCGCATTCTATGTTAACATTTCTCAATGTCGTTTGATGGTCGAGCTGAGTTATTTTTTCGTGGTTTCTGTTTTACAATACCTACTTCGGGTTTCGTGATGGTTATCGTGATCCCTCGCGATTTTAAAAGTAATTAGTTTTAGAAACTTATATGTATATATCTTGCATGTTTTGCTGACCTCTCCTGAGTCGGAGCAGTAGAAACACGGTTGAACTAATATGCCACTCATTTGTATAAATAAAAAATTTTTTGTTTGAGTTTTGATAGAACTTTTTTTTATGGATGATGCCTTATTATTTATGTTAATACTCTGTTTTCTTGACGTGTCTTAAATAAATGTATTCATTTGTATCCCTTTAATCATTTCAGCTGAGCTACAGTGTGGTTAGCGGCAACAAAGCGGGACTGCTGAACATCGGTCGCGACTCCGGGGAAATTTCCCTCTCTCCTGCCCTCAACAACAACGTTGCTACCACCGCCACCATGAGGGTCGCTGTCTCAGGTCAGTTCTCGTTATCTCTATACATTATTATCTACACCATTTCTGTTGAAAGCGACTTAAGCAAACTTAACTTTAAGTTTCGTTATCTCAACACTTTATAATATACACCATTTCTGGTGAAACCTACTTCACCGAACTTAACTTTAACTCTCGTTATCTCAACACATTATAATATACACAATTTTTGTTGAAAGCTACTTTAACAAACTTAACTTTAACTCTCGTTATCTCAACACATTATAATATACACAATTTCTGTTGAAAGAACTTTAACAAACTTAACTTTAACTCTCGTTATCTCAACACATTATAATATACACCATTTTTGTTGAAAGCAACTTTAACAAACTTAACTTCAAGTTTTGTTATCTCAACACATTGTAATATACACCATTTTTGTTGAAAGCAACATTGACAAACTTAACTTTAACTCTCGTTATCTCAACACATTATAATATACACAATTTCTGTTGAAAGCAACTTTACCTAACTTAACTTTAACTTTCGTTATCTCAACACATTATTATCTACAGTTCTACACCATTCGTATGGAAAGAAAACTTTTTGTTTTACATTGCAATTATTGTTTCGATTCCCGCGAAATTTTTGAGTTTCTATCTTTGTTTTGTATCTGCATGGTCAGAAATTATTGGTGACTTAATTTTACTTTTTAGCCTGAAATTATTTAGGTTGAAGCACCATTAAAAGGAATAAACTGTTGGCAGTCAATACATTTTTGCTCCGATATACCAATTGGGTTACCATTTTAGGCTTGTCACTGATTTTTTTCTGCATCTTTTGTTCATTTAAATTTTGTTTGGCAATGCGCCTGTGCTCATGTTTTTTTATGACCCATGTCATAGAACTGTACAATGACTAAATTTATTTATTTTCACTGAAAACTGTAATTTCTTTCAACCATTGACTCTCGTCACATTTAGGTTATCCTTTCTTCACTCAAATATTGTGGCAATTAATAATTGTTATTGATCAATCTTAATGTCACATTCATCCTCATATTTTGTTCACCATGACCATTTATATCAAGAGCATGGGATTTCTTCTTCGAAATGATAGTTTTACTGTCCAAATTAAAAGAAATGTTCTTAAATTGACTTTCGCGTGGACTTTTTCTTGTATTCGCTTTGGATAGTTTCGAGTTGAAAAGCAAAGCACCATCCAATAATTTATAGTCAAAATTATGGTGCAGTGTTTTTGCGAGTGTGAGTCTTTGTCCAGTGTTGATTTTATCCGAGTAGCGTCATGTCCATCGTTGATTGTATCACACAGTTTGTACTGCAATTGCGCACGCATTGCAACACTGTCCTGCCAGACACCGCGTGCGATGAAAGCCACGATAGCGAGGCTGGATTTCTCAAAACTATCACTTGTCAGTAACTCTTGTTCAGTGACGGTGAAGCAGAGTCTTCTTGAGATTTGGACTGAGCCATGTGCGCGATAAAATGACTAAAAAGTAATTGAATTTGTTAGCTAACTAGTGAACATTCATGCGTTTATAAAAGATACAAAAACTTGATGCATTTTAATTACATTTCAAGGTCAGCAAAATTTTTTACTTCTGCACTCAAAGGAAAATGAATCTTTATTGTTGAATCGGCCACAAAAATGAACATTGTGCTGATGGGAGCTCAAGTGTTGAATCTGTGCTTCGTTGACAGTCGCAGGTCATTGTATGGCTGCAGTTCAGTTAACAGGGAACCCGTCAAGCCGCTGCAGAAATCGTCACCGCGGTTCTCACTCGCATTGCTCGCGTTCTTGCTAGCAATCGACTTGATTACCCCCATTAGAACCCCCCTGTCTCCCGGCCCCTCTAGTTGTGTCGGGGGGCAACGTCCGACAACTCTATGCGGTAGCCTTCTTGTTCCTCTTCTGAAGCGTCGCTTAGCTTCCCTCTCTCCTCCCTTCCACGTTTCGCTTGTCCCGCCCCTCCGCGGGTTGTGGCGGTCGTAGAGTATTTCCTGCTGAGCTTTGTGGCGTGTGGCACAAATCCTGCTCCAGCAGCGGCAAAATGTACGACCATAGAAATTTTATCACATAGGACTAACGTTTGTTTATAAAAATTATATAATAAAACAAATAGTTTTTTTTAGTCTAAAATCCTATCATGTTTTTGTTTGTTATAACATGGGTTATGTTATAATTTGCTTGTATGTGATCAATGCTCTTAGTCGTTTATCTCATGCTATACAAATATTGTTGTAACAATTTTTGTGTCGCTTCAGGCAGATAACTTTTATATCCTAGATCTCATTGCTCTATGAACCTAACTTCTCAATTTGGTGTCATGTGCAAATTACTCGATAGTCTTACCACCCCGATCAAGAGCTCCAATGATGATGGCGCTATTACATTGGAGTTGCGGCTTCCTCGCATCCGTGACCAAGGATCTACGTAAGTGGGTCTAGCCATCACGGCAAACCGCTTTTGCATTAACGGTCGTGACGAACGGTGCCCGTAAAACGGCTTTGATCGGAGGCTGGCGTTTTGATTGCAGCGACGCCTGAGTGCATTCCGCCCGGTAGCGGTGAACGGACCGGGGTGATGGAGCCTCTCAGCCATGAATTGCGGTCTCTGGTGATGCCTTCTGTCATCACATGTGGGGCATCGCGACCAAGCTTGTGATGCTTCCTGTCATCACATGCGGGGCATCGCAACCAAGCGTGTGATGCCTCCTGTCATCACATGTGGGCATCGCGACCCAGCGTGTGATGCCTCCTGTCATCGCATGTGGGCATCGCGACCAATCGTGTGATGCCTCCTGTTATCGATCGTGCATTTTCGATCGTGCTCACACTAAGCTCTCGACATTCGTGTTCGTATCATAAACGTGAGTGAGAATCGCGTTTGTTCGTTCGCCCATAAGGAAAATAATGTCGATTTCGTGAATTTTTTCGCGAAAACTGACAAAATATTCAGGTTTTGTTCATCGTGTACGTTTTCGTCCATTAGACGGCATTTTTAAAGCATTTGAGAAACTCCTTCCATTTGCGTGGCCTGGTGAAAAGTAAAAGCACACTTTCATTTGATTGTCATTTATAAAATCTAAAAGCAGACCGTTTCCCTTCGTTGCGTTTCAACCAGTTCTGCTTGACTGAAGACCGCGTGCCTCTTACATGCCTTGCTGTCGAAACGCTTAATTGTCATACCTTGCTCCAATAACTCTACTTTCTGTTCCGGTCAATATAACTACTTATCCAATCTCTTGATGTGCATGACTGCGTGATTAATTATATTATCATTCACATATATTCAACATCCATTCTACGTTGAGAATTGCATTGAAACATTTGAATGCTTTTAATAATAGTATTTTTTGGTAATTTACCAGGGTTTTTCAGATTAGTAAGAAACATTTCAGCAAAATTGAATGTACTGGTATCGTTCATCTATCTTAGATATGAGGGTGTTCCCTAGTTTATCTGAACGTTGGATTTGGCGTTCTGTACAAAAAAAATAACGAGTTGCGGGCAAGTGTATTGGAAAGTTTTTGTCAATGGTCGTAAACTCTACGCAGTCTTGCACCAACCCTTTTCTTTTGAGAGCTGTGTTTTTTGGTATCGACAAGCCTTGTTAAATTGTAAAAATTGTATGAGGAAAGATGATGGCTGTTCTATTTTTGCTAGTTGAATTATCAAAAGAAACATAAATTTTGTTGCTTAAGATTGAAGATGAATATTGAAGTACTGACAAAATACGTACTGAAATTTAATTTTGCATTTTGCTTTCAGCGATCTAGCCGCTTATGGCAATTATTTACAATGTTTGATTTCCCCATCATGTGCGCATAAGTTTCTTAAAATATTAGGCCAGCAAGACATACTGAATATACTGATGCATGCACACACAGTATTGCATGTCTCCTGTCGTGATTGCGATCTTTCTCTTTGTTTTTACCGAGGCGTGCGTGTTTCTCAACGTCATAAGATAAGCTTCGTCATTTCCAGTCAAACTTTCATTGTTGTTTACCTCAAAATTTTGGCAGGAGATACCGGAAATATGAGCTGCTCTGGAATTATACTCGCTTACCTAACCCGAGATCGCTTCGAATATGCAACTGGAAAAATAACGCTTTATGCTTGACCGGGAAGAATCTGATTCGCGTCACGTCGCAAGAGCAGCGAAGGTGATAGATGGGCCGTCCTGTCGTACATGGTGTTCGCCAGTTAGTTGTGGGTTCGCGATGACATTCAGAATGAATGTTTCGACTTCTTGATTTTTGCTGATTATTGCAGGTATTACTAGGTTTTTAAAGTGCTTCTTCCCTAGCGTATGTAATTTCATCCATGTGTGCGCTTTCTTAATCCTCGAAAAGGGTATTATTAAATCGTGAACATTACTGAATTTATTGTACTGCAACGAGCTTTTTCTGAGTTGTTGAATGGTATTCACTGTAATTTTTAATTGGAAATTGGACGAAAATTATTGAAATGGAATTTCTCTACGACAAAATATCAACTATCTAGTATCATTTCAGCGCACAACGCATTTGAAAAGGAACGTGAAGCGTGTTCGGTACCAACAAGTCTCAGTTGCCGCTCAGCATCTTCAAAGCGGCAGAGGAACTGCACGCTATATAGGGACCGAAAGAAAGGCGCCTCGCTGCGTGCGTTAGTCGAGCTGTTGTTGCTCGGTTGCAATATGTAAGCTGATGCTCGGGCTTGACCCTCATTGCTGTGTCTAATGCGCTCATTAGTGGTGGGTCTTGAGAGCAGACTTTTGTCCAGGCTCGAAACCACGACATGTTTTGCGGTCATGTTGTTTGTTAACAGAAATTCGGAGAAATTTCTCTTCAGTTTGACGGCTGCTAACTCACGTGAAGCTGAGAACGTTTAAGAAACGTTCGTGGTATTTCGCGCAAGCAGGATATGTGCGTGCGAAAGACGTGTTATAGGGGGTTATGGTCTTATTTAGGGAGCTACTGATCATTATCTTGTTAAAGCTCTGCTCGTCTGCTAATTAAATTTCATTAGAGGACGAAA